GACACCAGTGTTTCGATATCTCATCAGGAAACAGCAGACTCGAATGTATCGTATAGATTCTCAGTGAAATTTATTATCTATCCACCGAACTTTTCGTTAAAATAAATAATTAAAACTAAAATAATTTATAAAATTAATGGCACTAAATATAGGTGAAATGTAAATAATAAAAGTAAACAACAGTAGAAGTTAGTCAGTTGTTATATCCTACCGAACGGGTTTCTGCCCAGGTTCCTTTGTACCTTATGCGCTACTGTTATTTCTTTCTCGTTGCAGATGATATTGTTTTTAATCATTGCCAGATGAATTTTATGGTATATGGTCATCAAAGTGGGGCAGTACGGCCTGATCAATATGTTTTCTTTAGTCTTCTTCACGCCCGGTTTGCTCACCTTATGAATCTGCATTATGGGTTTTAAATTATAATAATCATTACTAACCTTTTTGATATGTGGACGCGCTCCCTTTACATGTTTTTTATATTGTACAAAGTACTCTGGTTGACCCTGTATGCCTCCATGAATGATCTGATGCACGTGCAGTGCTCCTCATTCCTACAGGCATTATTCAATATGTTCTGTCTCCTCATGAACGACTTGAGGAGTGGGTGTGGGACCTTTTTTATGTTTTCCCTGTTACAATTGGCATCCTGGAATGGAAGGATATGCTAAACAATGTCCACTGCCATCTGTCTGTTCTGTTCCTTGGGGGATGGGATGATGATTATGTTCTTATGAACCAGATACCCATCTATTAGCTTTGTGTCGTTGTCAAGGGAAAAGGTGATCCTCTTCTTCAATTCATCCGTCCCATTGAGGCAGCTGAATATGATGGTATTGTTCCCTTTCTTGGTTTTGCGGCGTAGGGAGCTGGTTGGGATGGGTCTCTTTACTGCGCCTCTGGTGGTTGGGGGTATGTAGTTTGAAGATTCCTACTCTGGTTCCATTTCATTCTCATTTAGGTCCCTTATGAACTCCTGTGATGGATGGAAGAAACTAAGTAGTGTGGTTTGTTTAGTTAATTCCTCATCCGTCACCTCCTCATCTGAGTCACCATCCGTTTCGGGGTTAGGGTTAGGGTCATCATACTCTAAAAATAATTTTTAGTGCTTTATTAATAAAATATTTATAACGACATGAATTAATCACATTAAGTGTAGTAACAAGTAAAAAAATTACTTAAACCATTACCAATCCCACCAATACCAAGTCGCACCCCATACCTGTAAAATGTATGATGCAAAACAAGACAAACGACACAACAAAAAACACACCGAGAAGAGTGAGAAGACAAAAGTCCCTTCCTACCTATGTAATAAAATACCTTATGCCTTAGCCTACCTATGAAATAAATTACCTTATGCCTTAGCCTACCTATGTAATAAATTATCATATGTCTCAGCCTACCTATGTACAATTCATTTAGCTAATTCTTATGTAGAAAGAAAAGAAGGAGTAAAACAGAAGAAACAATACTGCCACACAAACAATGTATGTGTGTATGTATGCAAGAGCAGCAGCCTGCCACACCACGTCACCAAACCCACCGCTAGAAAAACCACAAAAGATAATTACAGCAGAACAAAACACAAATAAAATGAATGAAAATATTTATAAACCAATATTAACGCTAACAGAAGAATACTTATCTTAATTTTGTGCCAATCATCTTGACAACGCATCACTGACATATGCGCTCAAAAAAACTCTCGTGTTAATCTTCTGACGATGATACTCCAAGCCATCAGACC